TTTTCAACATTGCAAATTGATGTAAATTTTCAATTTAGCAGGCCGCCAAGGCTCAAAAACAAAGAAAATTGCTCAGAATAAACAAAAATTTTTTGAAAAATCGACATCCTCAGGCGTCAGTGTCTTACAGGAACTTTACATGGGGTTTAAATGGGAAAAGACAGCCTTCAGGCCGGATTTGAGCCCGATTGACTCTATATTTTTTTAAACACGCGCAAAGAGTTCACTGGGTGGAAATGGAGAAATTTGGGGAAAATTTGCAGGTTTTATGGAGGTTTGAAGATTCAGCTCTCATAAGAACCTGTGTGAAAATTTCGGTTTATGATTTATAGGGTCTCAGGGAAATTTTTGCTGCAACAAACCAACTCATTTTTAAATGTACTTTCTCCACCTCTAAAACCCTCCAAAAAAAAATTTGAAAATCAAAAATTTTTTTTTTATCGCAATTCTTAGGTCTTTCACCTTAGGATTTTCCTCAAAAATCGCTTTTTATTTTTTGCCCCAAACAGGAAGCCTCCAATCGAAACAACTTGCTCTTGACAAAATTTTGCAAATGGTCCGCGGCCTCCAAAAATGAATTTTGCAAAATTTTCGTGCAAACGGTTTTTGAGAAAATCTCAAAAACGGGTTTTTCGAAAAACCTCAAATATTTCCGAAAATAAAGTAGCTGCGGCAAAATTGAGCACAGCACGAGATAGACGGGGCGGAAAGTCAAAGAAAAGTTGGTATTCACTTTTCCACTAAAGTACACATTAAGCGAGCTACTGGAGACTTTTGGATTTTGGGTCCACTTTTGGCGAAAAATCCTCAAATTGATTTTCCAATTCTTTGGAAATTTTTTTTCGGTATCAAACCAACCCACTTTTCCATGTAGTCTGCCCACGTGGACTTCCCTCCAGAGCAAAAGTTTCGAAAATTCGAAAAACAATTTTTGAATTTTTTTGAGGATTTTTCGGAAAAATCACATTTTATTTTTTTCCTCCACAACCAGGCCTCCAATGGAAAAACGTTGCTCTTTAAAAAATGTGGCAAATGCCCCGCGCCAGCTTACGATGATTTTTGCAAAACCCTCCCTCAAACAGTTTTTGAGTAAATTTCCAAAACCTTGCTACTCAAAATCCCAACACTACTCCAAAACTTGAGTCGCCTCAAAAAACCTAAGCACACCACTGGACAGAGGCGAGCATTCGAAAGAAAAAGTTGTTATTCACTTTTCCTCTAAAATGCACACTAAGGGCGCCACTGGCTAATTAATGTTTTTTTACCCAATTTTGAGGAAAAATCGGAAATTTTCCAAAAGCTTCACAGAGCAAATTCCGAGGTTGCCAGTCCTTCTAGGCCCTAAAATAAAGAAACTCGCCCGAAATAAGTGGGCAGGTTACGCACAATCGGCCTCCACCTTTAGGTCCCGTTCATCACCCCTGGAACTTGTTCCAGGGGGGGATTTTAATTTTTTTCTCAAAAACCAGGCCCTGAGGGAAAAAAAGTCATTCTTGGAAAAAGTTGCGCAGCAACTCCAGCCAGCTTGTGGAATTTTTTGCAAATTCCCCGGAAAGGGGTTGCGCCGCCAGCGCCCAAGAGGCGCAAAGTTTCTGAAAAAATCCACTAGTTCCTGTCAGGGCACTGAAAAACGTCAAACAATGACATTTCTGACGTCGACTGACAGTTTGACGTTTTCGGCTTTTCAAAAGTTGTCACATTTCACTGAAAAAAGTTAATTTTTGCCAAGCCAAGCGAACATTTCCAGGCAAAACTTCCACAATCCCCAACTTTCCAGTGAGTTTTCGTCCGACGTCCTGCAAAAAATTGCCCCGATTCATCACCCAACCGCATAGAGAAACCCTGGGGGGGAAAATTCCCCAAAACAATGAAAAAACTAAGAAACGCTTTCCCATCTATTCAAGCGGGAAAATTAAAAATTCCTTAGCAGGATTTTTTAATTTTGGGCAAAATGCCCCCAATTAGACCAAACAAATGGCGCCTTGTTAACCAGCTTTTAATCGGGGGCGGAAAACAATGGGGAGCAAATAATTCGAGCCGGCAACAATGCAACGATTTAAGAGCAAATTGCGATGCAAAATGCGATTCGCATCGCATATTCAGTTCAATTTTCATAAACTGATGGAAACAGTCACGGAATCTTTCAACTGCAAACCGATCGAAGCCGACTTGGAAATGGAGATTTTTACATCAAAGTGATCGGGGCGCGTTCACTGAAAGTAAACAGCTGAAATCGGGCGTGAAAAGTGAATAATGCCGCTTTGCCACTTAAAAAACGGCCCTTTTGCCGCTTTTTCCTGCAACGTTTTGCTGACAAAGGCCGCCGCCATCCTCAGGGTGTTGCCCCGGCCTGTGGGCCACCAACCAGACTTTTGCCCGCATCCACTTAAATTGTCACACGAATTCTGAATCCCTGTTTGACAAATGTCACTTTGACATTGTTTTGATGCCAGTGACAAGTGATCAATTTTTGACGCTTCCACTGTCAAAAATAATAAATTTTCCCGCAGAATTCAGGTCTCTTGCTTGACAAATGTCGCTTTGACATTTGTTTGATGCAAGTGAATTGTCAATTTTTGTCATTTTGTTGACAGCCAAATCAATCGACCACTCTGTCGCATCATTTTGACAGTTTTCGAAGCGAAAACGTGCGATTTTGACAGATTTTTTCTGACTTTGATTGATGAGACCCAGCAATTTGACACATTTATTTTGCATTCGAAAAGTGTACAAGTGACAGTTGAGACTTTTTGACAGATAGACAACTCTTTTTGACTGTTTACTAGTTTTTTTTGTAAAAGCCTCACAGTGACTTGACAAAATAATGTTTCCAAAAACTGTAGGAACAAGAGCAAAAAAATTGCTCAAAATGTTCATATTTTGACATTTCTCATTCGCCAAAAATTGCCGAGGAACCAAAAAATATATCGAAAATGTCATTGAAATAATCAGCAAAACGAAGCTGAAAAATTTCCAATTTTTTACAAAGTATGTTAGTCACAAAATGAATATAAAAGGCGGCGAATGTCACAATTTTGACTTTTTTCTGAGTCTCAAAATTGCCGCAGAAGAATAGTTTGGAGAAAATACGTCCCTGATATCAATTATTCGAACTGCTCTCGAGAGAAAGTTTTAAATCATCTGTCATTTTGGTATTTTCTGAATTTCTTAAATTTTTGCATTTGACTGAAAGGAAACAAAAACGTGCGATTTTGACAGATAGTTTTAAGTGACTGATTTATAAGTCCCAGCATTTTGACGCATTCACTTCGCTTTCGAAAAGTGTCAACATAACATTTGACAAATTTTGACAGGTCGCCCTCTTTTTGACTATTTACTGTATTTTTTAGGGAACAAATGCTAATTTTTGACACAATAATTATGTGAAACAACAAAAAAAAATGTTAAAATATTTACATTTTGACATTTTTCAATCGATAAAATTCCCCGAAATCAAAAAATATATGTGAAAAAAATAAACAGGAAAAACCGAAAATGCAAAAATGAAAATCGAAACCTGGCGGCAAAACTGCCAATTTTTGTTCCAAAAATCTTCAAAAATGTCAAAATTTTTACATTTTTCTAGGCTCATAATTGCCACACAAAAACAATTTTGACAAAACACTTTTCCGATGATTGACAGATGCGAGAGAGAGAGAGAGATACATTTTCAAATCATCTGTCATTTTGACGAATTTAACTCAAACTCAAAAACGAAGGAACATCCGAAAATTTCTCATTTGACCGAAAGGAAACGAACCCGTATCATATTGACAGACTTTTGATTGACTTCGACTGATGAAACCCAGTATTTTGACACATTTATCTTGCTTTCTAAGTGCCAAAATGACAGCTGACAAATATTGATAGGTTGTATTTATTTTTGACAGTTTATTGTGTTTTTTTAAACCTCGCTGATTTGCACATCGACATGACCGATTACCGACAGCTGCAAAAATGCTAATTTTTTACAAAATAATTATGTCAAAAGCCTAGAAGAAAAAGCAAAAGAAACCAAAAATTTTTTAATATTTTGACATTTTTCAATTGGAAAAATTTCCCTCTAACCAAAAAACTCTGTATTAAAAAATTTTGCAAAAGAAAACCGAATATCAAAAAAAAAAAAAGCCGCAAAAATGACAATTTTTGGTCCAAAAAAGTTTCAAATTTTTGACATTTACTTTGCACTCAAAATTGCCGCAGAGAAACAATTTTGAGAAAAACACTTTTCGGATGTTTGACAGGTGTCACTGATTCAATTCATCGGTCAGTTTGACATTATCGCTGAAACTCGAAGGCAAAGGAAAATCCGAAATATATTGGGAAAAAACCAAAAAAGTTTTCAAAAATGTCAACATTTTGACATTTTTCCAAGGCTCAAATATGCCCCAGAAAAGTAATTTTCACAAAGTGCAATTTCGATATATGACAGCTGTCACTTAATCGCGATTCACTTCAGTTATCTTCATTTCACTTCAGTTATCTGTCATTTTGACATTTTTACGCAAACCCAAAAACGCAGAAAAATATCGGATTCGAGTGGAACGAATGGACAACATGTGACTTTTGACAGATTTTAGAACTTTGACAGATTGATGAGACCCGGCATTTTGACACATTCAGTTCGCTTTCGAATAGTATCAAAATGATGCCTGACCAATTTTGGCAGGTAGACTAAGTTAGTAGTTTTCTTTTGAAAAAAACGTCACTGTTTCTGTTGACAAGAAGTTTGACATTATCGCTCCAACTCAAAAGCAAAGGAAAATCCGAAAAAGTTGGGAAAAGAGCAAAAAAAAATGTCAACATTTTGACATTTTTCGAAGGCTCAAAGTTGAGCCAGAAAAGTCATTTTGACATTGTCACTCAAACTGAAAAACAGCCGATTTGACTGGAACAAAACGACAACGTGTGACTTTGACAGACGTTTCTTGCAACCCCGATAACTGCCAAAATGACAGGTGACAAATTTTGACAGGGAGTGAACGCGTTTTAGCAGTTGGCTGGCTCCTTTGTGGCAAAACGTCACAGTGATTTGCACATTTGCCGCTTTTTGCGACAAACAATCTGGACCGATTAGCGGTGTTGTCATTGGCCTGGTGCCATCTGGCCCGGCTATTTTTAGGCGGTGGCGACGACTGACGGCAATTAGCCTCACTACTTCCGCCCAACTGGCCTCATTGGAGTTTTCGGCCGGGAAAAATGTGAAAAACGCCACTTTCCGGGTGGGTTTTCACCGATCTGCCACAGGCGTTTGACTGTGTTGGCCCTATTCGGAAAAAAATGCGATTGTTTGCAAGGAGCGCGCTATTTTTGGCCATCCAGTGCGCACTTGATCGGGTAAACACCAATGGAATGGTGGATTGTTTATTGTTTGTGCCAGTGGCGGCTCGTAGGGGGTTTTCTATGATTTTCTATGACTGGACGGCAGCCCACCTGATCTGGCCTGAAATCACCGCACGGGAATAAATGGAAATGGTATTTTCGGGAAAATCGAAAGAAAATAATCGCCCACGCGGATTTTGAGCACGAGGCTGCTGGCCAGTGGCGTGCGAGTGCGGCGGACAAACAAAGCCGGGCGCCTAAAATTAGATGATGAGGACAACAACATGTGCTGGCCCCCCCTACTGGGTGAGCGCCTACGGCACTGGCGGTCTGATTGTGCGATATTTTCGCTCATTCTCGAAAAACTAGAACGAACGAACCGATTTCAAAGACGCGGCGTCTAAATTAAGAGTCTTTCAAACGCGCGGACCTTCAGTTTAGGTGCCAAAGCGAACCACGAACACTCGAAAAGTTGCTTTTTTCGTGTCTTTTTGTGATGAAGTGTCGCCCAATTGGAGTTGATTTGCTTTGTACTGAACTGGAAAACAGTCGCTTATAAGGTGAGTGTTCGGGGGTAATTTGCGTGCCTCCACCCTTAAGGGTTGGGCAAGTTCTCCGGCCTGTCCAGCGTAGGCCCACTAGAGTGAACAGGGTTTTTTTTTGCAAGATTTGAGGGCTTAGATGCAAAACTAAGGGTGGAGTTGGTGTGGTGCGACAAAGCCAGTTGGAAAGAGTTAAATAATTTTCGAAAATTATCGTTTTTTTTTTAACTCACCTTTGAGAGAACGAAAACTGTACAAATTTTGGGATTTTTCAGTTTTTCGCATTGTCCAAATTTTGACGTTTTCCGATTTTTCGCATTGTCAATATTTTGACTTTTTCAGTTTTGCGCACTGTCAACATTGACGTTTTTCAATTTTTCGAATTGTCAAAATTTTGACTTTTTCAATTGTGCATTGGCAGAATTTTGACGTTTTTTGGAACTTATTTTAGGATTTTGCCCACACGTTCTCAACGAAATGATTTTGTCTAAAATTTACATTTATTATTATTTATTATTTAGATTTATCGATTTCTTTTACAGGATTACTTTTTTCTTTACAATTTTCAATTAACAAAAAGTGTCATAATTTTGGCGATTTAGGGGATTTGCTAGGACTTCTAGTCACACCTTGGTCCAAAGAGTTTTTTAAAAAGATTAAAATCGCGGAATTGCGGGAGACATTGGCAACGTGGCGAAAGACCGCAAAATCATTCGCGTTTTAAATGCCTCTAAAAGGGACAATTTCTAGTAATTTTTTATTTGCTTCAGCTTTTGCTTCAGCTAAGCTTTTAAACAGTTTCTCAAATTTCTTCCAAAATCTGTCAAAATCACACGTTTTCGTTTCGTTTGAGTCAAATGATACATGATTGGATTTTCGTTTTGAAGCTTCTGAGTTGCCAGAAAATGTCAAAATGACAGATAATTTGACGGTTTCTCACCGAGAACAGCCTTGAAACAGTTGACACCTGTCAAACAATGGAAATGTATTTTGTGAAAATCATTCTTCTAGGGCAATTTTGAGCCGAAGAAAAATGTCAACATTTTGACGTCTTTAGAAATATGTTTAGCCAAAAATTGGCCATTTTGGCAACTCTGTTTTGATTATTAGTTCAACTTTATTTTCTGATTTTCCGGGGCACAAACCGCAAATGTTAAAATATGTCAAACATTTTTGACAAAATAATTTCGTCTATTTGAGAAATTTCTTCATCTTTTCGTAATTTTTTCGAAAAACGAAACCTGCGAAAACTCCCTTTTTGACAGTTTCTTGTTTCCTTTCTCCGCAAATGCGGTCTGGAAGGTTTTCGCAGCATTTTTGATGAAAAATTGATTTGAGTTTTATGGCATTTTGACACAATTGTTTTGGAAAAAATTGACATTTTTGGCAACTAAAAGGTGTCGAGTTGTGAATTTTTTTTTCAAAAAACTGAACCTGTCAAAATGACATTTTTGAAAGCGTTTTCCTCGTTTTTTTCCCTAAATACCTGCTGGAAGGTAAAGAAGGATTTTCGTATTTTTGTGACGGAATTATTTTGTCAAAAAATGGCATTTTTTTAGTGTCGTTATGAATGACTAAAAAGTTTTGACATTTGTGATTTTTCCGTTTGTTTCATTTTAAAGTAAAACACTTTTTTAGCTTCTGAGACGATTTTGGGAGCATAAAAAATGCTATTTTTGCCGTTTTTTTTGTCGTACTCTTCCTTACATCTTAGTGCAAAAACGCTTTTCAAAAGATTTAAGTAGTGGAGATCTGGGAGACATTGGCAACATGGCTAGAGACTGTAAAATTATCGACGTTTTAAATGCGTCCAAAAGTCAGCCTTTCTGCCGTTTTTTCTAGTAATTTTTCCAATTTAACGAATGTTGGATACAAAATTTCTCGAATTTTTTCGAAAAACTAAACCTCTCAAAATAATATTTGATGTTAAAATGTTGCGCCAAATTAATGAAAAATCTGTCAAAATCACACGTTTTTGTTTTGTTTCAGTCAATTCAAACCTGATCGGATTTTCTTTTTGACGCTTTTCAGTTGCAATAAAATATCAAAATGACAGATGATTTGACGGTTTCGACCGCGAGCAGCTCTGAATCAGTTGACACCTGCCAAAGATCAAAAATTTATTTTGAAAAAATTGGTCTTGAGCAATTTTGAGTCTAAGGAAAATGTAAAAAATTGGCTTTTTTGGCAGCTTCGTTTTGATTATTAGTGCAACGATAGTTTTCGAAAATTTTTTTTTACTTCCAGGCAACGAATCAAAAATGTCAAAATAATGTCAAGAATTTCTGACAAAATGATTTCGTCTTTTTTCTACAGATTTTTCTGTTTGAGTCAAAGAGCGAATTGTCAACGAGAGGTTAGTCTTCAACTTTTCGTAATTTTTTCGAAAAACTAAATCTGTCAAAACGCTCTTCTTGACAGTTTCTTGTTTCCTTCTTCTGCAAATGCGTTCTAGAGGGTTTTCGCAACATTTTTGTTGAAAAATTGATTAGTTTTATGCCATTTTGACATAATTATTATGAAAAAGTTGGTTTGACCTCTGGATTTTTTCGAAAATTTTACATTTTATTTTTCGTTTCGAAAACGAAGCATCGGTTCGAAAAAGGTTACTCTTTAAAAATTCTTGGGCCGGTCGCGCGCTATCCACTGGAAGTTTATCCAACTGTCCAGCTTTCACAGTTTTTGGGAAAATAGCAAAAATGTGGTTTTTAAAAAAATGCAAATACCTCAACAACGAGACGAGCTGAAATAAACCTGGTCAGCCCAGTCGATAGACCGTCTCAAGCGCCATAAAACACTTGGTATTCATGTTTTCGCTAGAATCAATAATAAGCGGACAATTGCCAATTTTCTGAAATCAAGGAAAATTTTTGGGAAATTTTTCCTAAATTTTACCTATCAAACTTTGCTCAACTTTTGACATAGGAGGCCTCCAGTGGTCCAAAGCAATCTCTTACAATCAAAACACTGTTAATTTTGTCAAAAAAACATTTTCCTCAAGTATAGCGCTATGACGTCATGGAGATGGAGGTTAGATGGGAAAGTCCTACAGTTTGGGGAAAATTTAAACTTTTAGAGTGCCTATCTAATATATCGATAGTATATCGATAATGGACCCAACCACGTGCCAATGGAGCTTTTGGTTTGGCAGCTATAAAAAATTGAAAATTTCGTTTACATGGGCTCTTATGGGAATGAGATTTAGATTTGCCAATTTGAAACTGAAAACCTTGGAATAATGTCAAATTGTTTGACAGCTTGCCTAATATCGTTCAATAGAAGACATTGACATTGACGTAAACATTAGTCAAGATTTTCCTAAAAAAAAAATTTTCAAAAATGGTTTAAATTAGCATGGGCTTAAATGGGAAACTTTTTTCCTTTTTACTTGACCGACGCGATTTTGAGGAAAATCGATTCGTATTTGTCTCAGTACTTATTGGGGTGAATTTCAACGAATTCGACTGTTATTTGACGCTTTTATTCACCTTTGAAAATTTCCCCCCCGTAAGGGCCTGTACACAATTTTTCGTCTTCCGCCTGTAGCTCACAGAGGAAATTTTTTTCGAAACAACTTAAGTCGATTTGTTAAGTAACTTTTCCATATCTACCCGCCTGCCAAGGAATGTTTTAAAAAAATAGTAAAAAAAATTTTTGCCGAAAATTGAAGGGGGTCAGACCCTTTGGATTTTTTCGAAATTTCATATTTTATTTTTTTCCTCGAAAACGAAGCTTTCAATCGAAAAACGCTGTTCTTGGCAAAATCTTTGCCTGGTCGAGCACTATCTATGGGAAATTTGGCAACGTTCCAGCTTGCACCGGTTTCGAGAAAATCGCTAAAATATGGTTTTCACAAAACTGCAAATATCGCCACAATTAGACGATGGGGAATAACCGTAGTCACGTCACTAGATAGCCCGGGTCGAGCTGCACAAAAATGCAGATATTCGATTTTCCGCTAAGATCAATCGTAAGCGAGCAATGGCCGATTTCCCAAAATCAAGGAAATTTTCGGGGAAAATTTTCGAAATTTTCCCTAATTTTTCGCTGTCAAATTTTGACGAAATTTTGACATTGCAGGCCTCCATTGGTCCAAAGCAATCCATTACACGCAAAAAATTATAAATTTTTCGGAAAAAACCATCCTCAAGTATAGCACCATGACGTCATGGAGATGCAGGTTAGATGGAAAATTTCCACAGTTTGGGAAAAACTGAAATATTTCGGCTTTGAAAATGTCCTTGAAAATTGAACTACTTGAAAATAAACAGGGCCTGGAAACTGGCAGATTGGTACTTGAGGGTATCAGCCACTTTTCCGGGAAATTCGGGATTTTAGGCCCAATTTTGGGAAAACGCTTCAGAAAAGAGCACAAGCGAGTTGCAGCAAAACGTGCATTTTTCCCTGCAAACGCACTGGAACAAAAACATTGGAATCTCGAAGCCTTCGAGCCATTCAGCATTCAAGCCAACTTTAGCCATCGCTAGTTAAAAATATCAAGACGCGCGGCGTCCAAATTTAGAATCGCACGTCACAAAAGAACGACAAAATCGGCGTCCCGACGCTTATGACCAATCCAATGCGAATTCGTTCTCGCCATGAAAACTGATACTTTTTCCAACCCAGCGGCGTCCAAAACTATGCTGATATTAAAAATAATAATGATAATACAATCCAGCTGTAGCAAATTCCGAGGCTTGCGCCTTCTCAGTTAAAAATTCGCTGCTTGCAAACCAACGCACGCAGCGTCTTGAAACTTTCACCATCTTCAGGCTGCTGAAGGGTCTTCGCATGGGGAGAGTTTCATCAAAATTGCCTCATCGGGAATGCAGACGGTTGAGATCTGAAGAAACGCCGCACTCTAAATTGGCGTTTTGACTCAACTGCATCCTTTCGGTTAAAAATTCGCAACTTTTAAACCCAGCCGAGTGGCCACTTCAAACGTTCACCATCGTTAGCAGACACTCGGCGCAATATAATCGAAAAGTGTCATAAAAATTGGCAGAAATTTCGATTTT